CAGAGCCACTAGGCCGAGTTTTCTCCATTTTGGCCGCTAATTACTATGGTGCTCTGGAGTCTTTGTTTCCAGCGTTGGAAGCCCAGGACACCCTCCCCATGGTTGGCTAAGTTCCTTAGTTGCGTAGGAATGTGAATCCTAGGGGTTATAGCCATGTAAACTCGATAATTTGGTTAATATCACTATTTGATTTTCATATGTGTGATGCTTGATTACTCCTATTTTGTTATTTGTTGATTAGAATGATTGCTTAGTCGTTCTTGCACTCCTTCGAGGTGAAAGAAATGAAATCGTAGTCGATCGAATGTCAATTCACCTCAATGAAGAAATTCAAAGGGACCTTGTCACCCATTAGTTCAGGTAAATGCTTCAACACAAGGTGTGATCTAACAGAATAAGAAATCGGCAGCTAGTATGCTCCGACCATCGAGGGCGCGTGGTTAGGAAACACAGGGGGAACGATGCCTATGCAATGCTTTCCTTCTTTGCTCTCTCACTTCTCCAGTAGCTTAGATTTACGTTTTATACACTCACTTTTTTCCGAATGCCTAAGTTCTAGAAAACTAGAGGAATCTCAACCTCCTAATCGACCTCTTCTTCAATAGAACCATACCTCTCTTTCAAAGTAAGGGTTCTACGAGAGGCCCGAGGGAAAACGATTATAGCCTTACAGCCATGTAAATTTGGTCTATGCTATACGGTGAATCAAATTTTGGCTCCATTGTCAGGGCTAACTCTCAAAACGCGTGCTGATTTTTGCTTCCCACTGTTCGTAACCTAGAAGCACCAATTTCTCTCCTATTTTAGGGGCTCGGGCACCAATTTTAAGTGAACGTTTTTCTTCTAGAATTCAACCCATGTCCTATGCATGAGACCTTCACGAACCAGGGCCAAAGTTAAGAAACTTAGACAAAAAAGACTTGCCCAAGGTTGTGAGTATAGGATTGGTACTTCTAATTCATCTTATCAGAAGACACCATCTCCAAGAAAAAGAAAGCGGAAGAAGCGGTTTCTTACTGCGCTTCACTCAAATCCTCACTTTGACGAAGGTACACAATAGAGAGTAACTCCTCTCCCTCTGAACCCACATAACCTAGAGGTATGGCGGAATGAACTCTCTACGAGTATACAAGGCCTTAAGCTGCAAACATCGTTTCCAGCATCGTCCTACCTCATGTTGATGTGCCAAACTTTGAGTTGCGTACTTTAATGATCCATATGATCCAGAATGCTGGATGTTTTGAGGGCCGCAATAATGAGTATCCGGTCGAGCATGTCAAAACATTTCTGGAAATATGTGGTTCCTCACAGTAGCCAGGTGTGAAGCCGATGCAATATGGCTACATCTCTTTCCTTTTTCTCTTTCGAGAAAGGCAAAGAGTTGGCTATCCGGCCAAACACAAGGAGCATTCCATACGTCGGAGGCATTGGTCTAAGCCTTTATTGAGGAGTTTTTCCCTTCTTGAAAACCGACAATCTTAGGGACCAAATTGCTCGATTCCAATAGCGACATCATGAGTCATTGTCTGAAGCATGAGAGCGTTATCAAGGTCTACTTTTTTCTTGTCCTCATCATGGGTTAGCACAAGAACAAGTAGCTGACATCCTTGGAAAGGCCCTCGAGCTAAACACCGCAACAATGTTGAATCAAGTTGTCGAAGGTGACATATCACAAATGACTGCGCAACATGCCCTTAAGCATTATGCGTCAATAGCCACCAAATCTCGAAACTCGTCAAGGAGGACTTCTCCAACTACGGTGAGGATGGTACAAGAGCCAGATGACTCTCTCGCCAGCATAGCGAAACAAGTTGTTGTCATAGCCAAGGAGGTGCAAGCACTCAAGATGAGTCAAAACACCCTTGTCGCACAACTTTTCATATATGAACAATGCGGCAATGACGGTCACGATGGGTACAACTGCGGGACTATAGTAAGCCCTTCAAACGAGGAGGTCAATTTATGAATACTAGCAACCCTCAAGCTCGCTACTTCAATCGCCCCAACTTTGGGGTATCAGGATTTTTTGCGATATATACTTTGATCGCATTTCAAGAGATTTTGTGTTCCAAGATGATTCATTTGATCACCATAAAGTGACTATTCTCTCAACTTAATGTAAGATGGATCTCTTTGAAGTAAATCAGAACTTTCTCTAGGTTTGCGTAGCATTGTGAAAAAGAGTCTCCATATATATTGAGAACTCATTCATGAATACTCCCACCAGGTCTTCGAGGAGATCATAAAAATGGATTCATGTAGCTTTAAAAGATAACAGGGACATTACATAAAGCCAAATAGTATCCTACATTATGTAAAAGTGCCTTAAAATGTAGTTTCCTCCTAATCGACTGGGTCAATGAGAATTTGGAAATAACGAGAGACATACCATCCAGTGAGTAGGCTCAAAGCAACGTTTGGGCTGATGTACATAACCAGAAAGCAATGAAGGTCCTAATGAAATTTCATTGTTCAAATCTAAATAATTGAAAAAAAAAACATGAATATTCTCCTCTTTAGTGATGGCATTTGCCAATTTGAACACCCCCCGGTGGTATTATCCGATCCGACCTGCGATGGGCCGGGTATTACCCTTCTCACAGTAGCCTGGGGCAGGGCATGGATATCTACTTCCAACCCACCTTGCTCCTCCTCGCGCTGTTTTTTGCCCATTCTATCTCAATTTCTTACATTAACTATACATATTTCTCCTATTTTGACTTTTCTTCAATTAGTTAGAGTTGATCTTCCAACTTGGTAAACTCACTGATGATTTACCCATTATATTATCACAGATTTTCCTTCATAAAGTACTTTTTCATTTGTTTTATTGTAAAAAGTAAAATTTGCATGTATTTTTTTCAGGAAACATTTAAAAGTGGTTCAAGCAACCCGACCCCGCCCGTACCCACCTGGATTTTACTCGCCCAGCCCCACCCGTTGCCATCACTACTCTTCTTCTTCCCTCTTCCTTTTCTTTTTTCCTTGCGCAATAGGCAGGAAGAAGAATCACTTCGTACTCCTCACTTGCTTTTCTTTTCCCGGGAAGTTGTCCACTACTTTGCTCCTCCAGTTTGCTTGTGCTATTCTGGCACACAAGCGAGTAGTGAAACTCCAATAGAGCTTTCTACTCCTCGCAGTGGCAGAAAATGGCTATGACAGTTGAAGGTACGACTTGTTCTCCTATTAATAGTTCATTCTTGCAATTTTCATCTCAACCTCCATAACTCGCTTTAATTCGTTAAAAGATCGACTTCCCCAGCTCCCTATTGCAATTTGCATTTGCAATTGAGTCGCTAAATTTAGTCTTCTAGCTAGGTTCTTGCTTCATTGAGTTCCAATGAGCTCAATTTTGTTAGGACTTTTGACTTGTCAGATTTTCTCCTATAGGAAAAGAAGAGGAACCTGTTTGGTCGCTGGGAAATAAATGAGAATGTAAAGACATGAAAGTGGTGAATTTGTGTGGAAAAGTTTTCACTTGCCATTGTGATTCGATTTTATCAGGGTGACCTTTCCTCTTGATGGTGCTTGTAACCTTAAGGCATATCCTTTAGTTTGTCTGGACTCTCGGGTGGTGAGCTTGAGTTCTTGTTGTTGTTGTGAGGGTAACCTGTCTATTTAATTAGTTGCGAAGTTGATTGCTATCCATTTCTTCATCTATACCAGGAATCTGTTTGCAAATGCTTTCAGGTATATATCTTTCCTTTGCTAATCGCTTTCTGTTTTGATGTGCTCGTGTTGCGGTGTCGCAAAATGTTTACTGTCGTCCTCTACAGTGTAAGTTGATGGCTTTGATATGGAATTGAGACCTGAGCTTGTGCTTTTGTGTTTTGGTGAGTGGCTAAACTGAATTTGTTTCAATGCAAGCTTGTCGGGCTTGCTTTTATGTTCTCAGCTAGTATTCTGCTACAAATACTGGTATGTTTCAGTCTCATTGGTTGTAATATGGGATCCCTGCATAATTGTAACAAAATACATGCCACTTAGAAGTTAAAATCGGCCAATCGTGTGCAACTGGACTAGAAATGTTCCGTACTTAAACATTATTAGGTACAATAGTCCAGAAAAGGGTTACTTATTTCCATCATGCCCTTTTCTAGGCTGAGGTATTGTTCCTCTGTTTCTTTCCTGGCTTGTGTGGTTACGTAGAGGCCTTTTGGAGTTTTCATGATATAGAGGGAAAATAACCCTATTGTTACTACATACCTTAAAATTTATCCAGGAAGCCATTCAGGTGTTGTTCAATTATAGAAGCTGGTAGGCAGCATTAACTGGAAATGCCAAACAGGGAAGCATCATAAGGACTATGGTACCCCCCCCCCCAACTTCCAAGTACTTGTGTCCTCGAAAGTTCCAACAATCTCGACCAAAGTGCATCAGTTTGCTATTTGAATTCTTGTGTTAATAAGTTAAATCTGGTCTGCTTTCTTTAGTTCTAAACGCTGATCTTGAGATCAATATGATATAAATGGACTTGGATTGAACTAATTAACTTTCTTGGCTATGAACTGGGTTTAGACTGACTTCAGGTTATTAATATGAAATTTCTTGGTGATGGTGGGTTAGATAGTATTTTATGCGATGCCAGAGGATATCCTACGAGATGATCTCGTGATTTGCTTTCCAATGAAGCACTAGTTGTTCTGCTTCCTATTGCCTGCAATATAATAATCAAAATTTAATGCTATCGAATAATCGAAATAACGATCAGTGTTAAAAGTTCGGCTGATTGCTGCATTTTTCGCACTCAATCAGCTTGTAGAGCTCGAGGACTTTGTGCTTAGGAATCTTTCAATATAATCACTTCAAACTTGAATATGCATTTTTCTTTATCTATCTCTAAATCTTCTCCTCCACTGCATCATTGTGCATTGTATGCATTCCAAGGGTGATTGCTATAAATATTAAGGACGGGACATTGCACCATATCTGTTCACAAAGTTTCACCTTCCTGATTTCTGTCATTTCAGGCATGTGCAATATACAACAATTGGTGGCCAATGTTATCAAGTTTGGTGTTATTAATTTGTGAATACAACGAAAATTGGATTTTTAAATGTTCTTGAACCACGATTTAAAAATCATTGTACGCCGCAGGTCTTATGTATGTGCTAGTGCCTATGCCTTGTCTATTCCTTGGAGGTGGATCAACTCAGTTTCTTATCAGCCGGGATGGTGGCGGGTGAGCATACTTACATCTTTACCTTCATTCTCCTAACTGATTTCTGATGGTTGGACTGATGTGGAGGCTTTCTTATTGCGAAAAAGGTTCATTCTATAAAGCTTGTGATATTGCTAAAACCAAAGTTGGATAGATGCTGCAAAGTTCCTCACAGGAGCATCAACTGTGGAGAACTTAGCGATTCCGATCATCCTTAGGCATGCAAATATGATTGAAACATGGGCAATGTTCATCGAGTTCACGTCCTTGTTCATTTTTGTATGCACGGTCATGTGTTTTCATCGGACGATTGGTGATGCACATTAATTCTGTCCATAGGGTAACTACATTTATGATGCAACTCTTGGTTTTGGACAACAAACTTGATCGAAAGGTGATAGGCATGAGTATTGTAACCTCACTCTTGCCATGTATATCCATTTCATTTCATGTGTATTAGTGAAATCATTTATTAATTAAAGGAAACATAAAAAGAAAAAGGTTACGGCCCAGGAGAGGGCTCTACAAGCAAACAACAACCGAGAGGAAGAAAAAAAACCAAATACATAGCAGTAGCAGAAGGAACAGAAGGAACCCAAGACAGCAAAACAAAACAAAACATCCTCCAGTAGAGACATACAGAAGCAGCAACAGTAGCAGCAACAACCTCAAACTCAACAGCAGCAGCTCCAGCAGCAACATCAACAGCAGCAGCTCCAGCAGCAACATCAACAGCAACAACAACAACAACACAAGCAGACGCAGATAGTTCATTAACATAGCCACTGAGCACCAGAAGTTTAGTGTGGCTATTCCTGCACAACTATAGGAACCAGCTGATCTTTCAACTTCCTCATCCAATCCTCCGCAATGAATCTATCAACCTTCTCATTAGCACACAACCAGTCCGACATAGCACGAGCAATTCGAAAGCAGACCACATTCACTGTTTCCACCTTGTCTCTAAAAATCCTACCATTCCTTTCCAGCCAAAGTCGCCAACACAGAGTGTGCAAAAACATTATGGAGCACCACTCTTGAGAACAGTCAGGTTCCTTTTGCTGCCACCTGCTGATTAGGACAGATGTATCCCCTTCTCGGTTATTAGGTATCTTCACTAAACGCATCATTGCTTGCCACACCATACGCGAGAACCTGCATCCCAAGAAGAGATGATCTGCACTTTCTTCCTCTTCGCAGCACAGGGCACAGCGGTTTGGCGTCATCCATCCGCGCTTCTTGAGTAGGTCTTGCGTTAGAATCTTTTGCGGAACACTAACCACACAAACACACAGACTATAAACGGGGCAGGCTGCTTCCAAACGATGTTGGCAGGGAACCTGATTCCATTACTGTGATGTTCATCAAACAACGAGTCATACATGGACTTCACTCAAAAGCCGGTGCTCGGGGACGGCTCCCAAGTTAGTCTTGTTGGACCTGCAGAGTACAAAGTGGAAGGAATAGTTTGAAGTAAATTTAAAAGAGCAGATCTCTCACCCTCAGCCTCACCTCTTAGGCTATGATTTAAAGGTAAGTCCCACGAAAGGTTTCTCTCCCCAACACACAAGACATCGGCGATTCGACAGCATGGCGAAGCAGCAACAGCGACAATCCTTGGAAAGGCTTTAGCAAGAGGGGGATGGCCTTTTATCCATAGATCGTACCAGAAGGAAGTCCAGGCTCCACCTCCCTGCTCCACCCACGCTAACTTCCAAAATTCCTTCGAGAGTTTCTGAATTTGAGACCAAGGGCTGCAGCCCATCAATCCACTAAACTCACCTGTGCTCCATTCCGAGGCTTTATAAGGGAACTTAATGCCAATCAGCTCCCTCCACCATTAATCTCTCTCGGAAGTGAATCTCCACAGCCACTTTCCTAACAGTGCTTTATTACGCGTCCTCAAGTCAACAATTCCCAAACCACCAACTTTCTTTGGTCTTTTACAAGTTGCCCAAGCCACCAAATGCATCTTATTCTCTTGACTCCCACCTGACCAAATGAACTCTTTCTGAATTCTCTCAAACTTCTCAATGATGCTAGCTGGCGCGCTAAAAAGAGAGCACTGAAAAAGCGGTTGGCTTGCCAAGACAGCGTTGCACAAAGTTATTCTACCACCTAAATATAGAAATTTACTCTGCCACCCTTCCAACTTCTTCTGCATCTTCACTAGTATTGGTTCCCAGATAGCTGTGGACGTAGGCTTAGCACCTAAAGGCAGCCCAAGATACACCATGTGAAGAAAGATCCAGTTACACCCGAGGATCCCAGCCAGCCTTTCGATATTATCCATCTCACCAACAGGGTACAACTTACTCTTATCAAGGTTTATCTTGAGGCCTGTGATGGCTTGGAAGCATAAGTGGGCAGCCATAACATTAAACACTTCATCTTCTGAGGCATTGCAGAAGACTATAACATCATCAGCATACAATAAGTGAGACACTTGCCCTCTCATATTCCTTTCATCAAAATGGAACCCAGTGATGAGTCCCTCATCCTGCATCTTTTCAATTATAAAGGAGAAGACGTCCATGACGATGTTGAACAGAAGAGGGGAGAGAGGGTCTCCCTGATTAAGGCCACGCTCCATGCTAAGAAATCCTGTCGCTTCACCATTTACAAGGCCTGAAAATTTTGAGCAGGAAACCAGCCCCATAATCCACTTTTCAAGCTTCACATTCATACACATGTTCATCAGGATTTGCCTCAAACACTCCCAACTTACTTAGTCAAATGCCTTTTCAATATCAAGTTTTAAGATGATCCCCGGCTTTCCACTACGCTTCCTGCTGTCAATTGCTTCATTAGCAATCAAACTAGCCTCGTGAATTACTTTCTTCTTCTTTCCAGCAAACTGGAATTTTGAGACAAACTTGTGCGAAACCAGCTGTAATCTAGCCAAGATAGCATTTGAGATAATCTTGTTAAGAATCCCAATGAGGCTAATCGGCCGGAAATCCTTCACTTCTTCAACCGCTTTTTTCTTGGGGATCAAGCACACGAAGGAGTGTGCAACAAACTGCGGTAGAACACCACTGAGATAAAAATCATCAACGGCTTTCAGGACATCTGATTTAATGATGTTCCATGATTTCTTGAAGAACGCAAGAGTAAATCCATCTGGCCCCGGTGCCTTATCCTCATTACACGAATAGATTGCGTTCCATACTTCAGTTTCCGTGAAGGGGACAGTAAGATTGAAATTTTTTTCTTGATTGATTAAAGCCGCCTTAAAGTCAACCGGGAAAGGTCTATCCTTCTCAAGTTCTGTAAATCTTTCGCGAAAATGGTTGACAAAAGCCTGTTGGAGTTCCCCTTTCTCCACGATCACCCTTCCTTCAACTCTAATAACCCTCGTGAGTCGTCATAAGATATGTGTTCCGTGCCTTCCCTTATAGCCTATCCTTGTTTTGGGTGTGGCCTTTGTTACTACATTTGTGCGATTCATGATGACCATTTCCTTGTTTTGGGTCGACTAATAGAATTTATATCTTTGTTTAGACTGAAATCGTCGGACCACCTCCATCAATCTTCTACCGGCTGGCATCATCACATTGGAAAGATCCAACGATGTCAGCCTACGCAAGCACACCGAATCCCAGCTAGGGGCATTGAAAAATATATATTAGTAGAGTTTTAAGAGATTTCCAGGATTCAAAAAATCCCGCTTTCTCTTTAATTTTCGGTAAGGGTATATTAGAATTATCCATCTATAAATCCCGCCCACAATATACGCTAGGTTTCTATTCCTACCGACAACTAATAATCAGTGAGCCCAATTAGAAAGCCCAACAGTTGCTTAAGTGATAATAATTTTAAAAACATGTAGTAAAATAGATGGTACAAAACATAAATTCTCTCTATTTCTGTTCATCCAACACAATTTTATTTTTCTTTTATTTTTTATTTTTTTCTTAATAACATTTATCCGGATTTTCCAATTAACGAAATTATATTTGGTTGTTTAAAGTTTTGACAAAATTTAGAAGTTTTTATGGATAGTAACTAAAGATTAAGTTTAACATGAAAAAGAAAAATACAACTTAATAGCCCAAACTTTCAAAATTTTCAAATTATTAGCCAAACCTTTCAAAATACAAAAAAATGTCAAATGTTAACTTCACGTTAGTGACTCTCTCCGAATATCACAATTAATTCCCGCATAAGGTCCAAATATAAACCTTAGTCGGGTGCAATACAGGGCAAGTATGTTTAAATATCGACTCGGGCCGGTCCGTGTACCCCTACTTCAGTCATTTGAATCGTTATCTAGCGAATAGGTTTTGGTTGAAAAGATTGCTAATTAAAGTAAAGCAAGGCAAAAGTAAATGGTTTTGAAATCAAGATCAATGCCAATAAACACGAGATTTTCCCACAAATCAGCAACTTTGATCATGCAAACATTGCTAGGAGCCCTCAAAATTTTCAAATTTGGACATACATCAAGGCTCCAAGCATCAATCACACTCATACAAGCATAATAGTAAACTACCCCCCCCCCCCTCTCACACACACACACTTAAGTTCGACATTGCCCTCAATGGCGTAAGATAGGGGTAGACTGATGTTACCGCTTGGGTTTGGTGAGTGAAAGTTGGAATCAATTCCGGGGTAGGATATTTGGAGCTTCAAGGAGAGACAAACACACACACACAAACACAATACGATAGTAGTAGTTGTTTATGGTCACACACACACAAAAGAAAGAAAAATAACAAAAACAAGTTCAGAGTTACAAGTGGAGAAGTGGGGCGAAAGAAATCGGCTCTGCCACATGTCTAACTCGTCGGCTACCTCTCACGGGTGGATGGACCCTCCCTCTCATCTGGAAGGAGGTCCTGACGTCGGGCCATTAGCCCTGGTGGGTAAATAACTAAGTACCATATATGGATTGGTGCATGAGAGAATATATTAATGCATATAACTGATGGCATCCCAAGATGAGGTCAATGGCGTAGTAAGACAAGTACATGATTTGGTACTGCAAGTTCACCAAAAGTTGGATAACCAAACATGGTGCTTATTTTGCTTTAGTCAACATAAAGATTCTCTGACTGACATTGTCAATGTATGGAACTAGGTTGGTGGGTTGGAACTTGCGAGTGCGGCTATGGAGAGTGATCCCACTATGTGGCCCGAAAAAACATCCTTCTTGAGGAGAATCTTCAAGAATATCTTGTCGTGAGCACGAGAGCATCAAAGGATGTCGTTTCCTATCCACCAATATGTGCACCACCATGTCCTTTCTCCTACGACATTGATGTCCAACACCCTGCCATCACGACCAAGGAGAAGTAAACGTCGCACATAGGTAGTAAGAATCC